AAATGCTACGCAGTGGGCATGTCGAAGGGTGGTTCCCGCTATGGTCGCCGCTCTAATTGGTTCAAGATCCACTGCTTGCTGCAGGAACAACAACAGCAGGCCATCGATGCTGCGAACAAAGCCGCAGCTGCTGTTGCCGGCGGTAATCCAGCCGCGAATCCAAATGCCGGCGGCTATGGCGATATGGCCAGCGCCGCCGCCGCTGCTGCCAAACAACATATGCAATCGCTCAACCCACACATGGCTGCCGCTGGTGGCTTGCTCGGCTATCCTGGCTACCATTTGCCCGACATGATGGCTCAAGCAGCACCTTTCATGTCTGCCGCGCGTCACCCGGCCGCCGACGCTGCTGGCTCGTTGCCTTTCTTCAGCATGATGAGCTCGCTGCCGAGCATGGGCGCAGCGCAGTCAGCCTTCCAGTTGCCACCACATTTGCTCTTCCCAGCCGCTGCTGCTGCGGCTGCTTATCATCCAAATGCCGCCGCCGCCGCTGCAGCGGCCGCTGATGCCGCTTATCGTTCGGAAATGTACAAGCATCGTCAGTCTGTAGATTCAGCTGCCTCCGCTGATTCGGCGCATCGTTACTCACCGCAAATTGCCGCCGCCGCCGCCGCTGCGGCTACAGCAGCTGCAGAGCAGCAAATGCGCGAGAAACAAGAAGCCACGCGTCATTCACCGGAGTTGTGCGTTGGGGGCGGTGATGAGAATGAGGACGATGAACTGGATGTGCATTCGCCTTCACCAGCATTATCATCTAACCAACGCTCCGGCGAGCAGCGTGTGCACCACCAAGTACAGCAAGAGCGTCAACAAAAACAGTTGCACCCCCACACCCACACCCACCCCCACCAAATACACAGTCCCATTGCGATACGTGCCACACCACACACCATCCCCACGCTCAGCAGTCCACCACTCTCCGTACCGGTGCCAACATCAGCGCTCACGCCCAACTCAGTCAATTCCCCAACACACCAGCCAAGCTCACCAACACCAACTGCTAGCGCCATCGCTGAATCGGCCGCGCTCTCCTTTGCCGCCAAAATGCAGTCACTCTCACCAGTCTCGGTCTGCTCCATTGGCGCTGAAAGCACCAGCGCTGTAAGTACACAGCCGCAGAATGCCAGCGATGTCGCTGACGCGCAGGATTGCCCCATGGATCTCAGCATGAAGGCGGTCAGCTCCACATCACGCGCCTCCACGCACAGCTGCAACACCAGCAGCGGCAGTGGCGACTGCGATATGCATTGCGAATCGAGTGAAGAGGAGGC